CAAAGATTGGATGCTGATGTGAATCCTATCAAGCGYGTCGAGCTGACTGCTAATGAATTCAGTGGGCAAGTTCACTTTGATGAGCTTGCTGATCCGGATGATCTGCTGAATAATGGTGCCGGAGGAACCCCTGGAGCTGCTGGAGGGACTGCTCGTGGGATTYGGAGGACTCAGTTGCAGTGGAATCATGCAATGTTTTCGAAGCTCTTTGCCACAGCGAATCAAGTGAATGATATAAAGAATAGGCAGATTGCAGTTGAAGCCAAGTTCAATCAGAAGCTCAATCGAGCAATTGAGCTGTCCCAAAGAGCTGCCATGAGCCCTATAGCAAGAAGACGTGGTCGCGTCCGAGCTGTAAACAGTGGTGCATCGGAAGCTGCTGGTGGTGCAGGGGGAACTGAAGTAGCRGAGCTGTGCAAGTGTCCTAATGATCTTTATGTCCTCTGGAATGAATGGGAAGTGGGTGTTGGTCTGAATAAGCCTGCCAAGGAGTTCACTGCTGCTGAGCGAGGTCGTGTAAAGAGCAAGTACTGCAGGCGTTTGAAGTTTTGGAAGTGCATGGAAAGACTCATCAGAGCTGGTTGTTCTTCTGAAGTGGCTGTAAGAAGAATTTATGCAGTATATTGAGGCCCTTCCAAACGCGTTTCATTCATTCTTAGAGCCATGGCTCCCCATGAGGCAGTGGGAGGACACCACATGCTTAGAGGACCGGCCGCTGTTGCTGCTTCTTAATCGCCGTYGAYGTCGACGCGTCGGATGCTCGATTCGTCGATGCTTCTTCTTTGTTCTTTGTTGCGTGTCGAAGTGTTTGTTCCTTACTACTTGTCCCCCCCTTATATCGAAAAAACATAAAAATATAGTGTACTGTGTATATGTGAACTGTAGTACTGTATTTTGCTATCCTCACTAAGAGGACCATCTTGTTAGCTGACAGGAGTGTTGGTATCGGTGTTGTCGTTATCGACGTGATTGTCGAGAATTACTCTCCCGACTTGGTTTTTTTTCATAGAATTTGCCTTGTGCGTGATCGTGTGAGTACTTCTCATCAAACACGCTGATACTCTTGCACTCCAGTCTTGCCACGCACTGTCTATAAGACCTACGAGTCTTATGTACTGTGTCCTACACGGTTGCAATATTAGTTATATTTTCTTTGTGTACTTGTCGAATACAAAGGTAGGACTGACGGGAATTTACAATTTTACAACAATCGTGTGAAGTACAGACGATTGAATATCTATCATTTCACTCGATCAAAACCACTCATCGTCGTCGACAAGTAATTTTTTCTCGACTCCGACAAAGTTAGCTCACTTTTTGAACATGAAAAAACGAACAAACTGCTTCTCGGCAACTCATCTCTAGTCTGACGGAAAAATTGATCTACACCCGGAAACAGCGATTCATACCGTTAGGAAGGCTTTTCCAAAAAGCCTATTGTTAATGATCTGACACTTCAAAGAAACCAGTATCGTTTCCAACAATTTTGCAATGGAAGGTCCTCACACCGCAGTGGATGCTGCTGACAATCCGATGACGAATTTCGTCAAAGTGTTGTGTTGCGTCTGTGGAATCACGATCGATCCGAACTCATCCAACACATGCGCTTCGTGTTTAGCTAGCTCCTCCGACATAACTCATGGTATAAGCACAGAAGTCTGCCTGCACCAATGCAGAAGTTGCCAACGTTGGCACAAGGAAGCAGGTAAATGGATGTCATGTCCATTGGAAAGTCGAGAGCTGATGGCGCTGTGCCTTTCCAATATAAACGGATTGAAGGCAACAAAAACGAATCCTAATAGAACAAGATTGATCGACGCGGCATGGATTTGGACCGAACCGCACTCAATGAGATTGAAAGTTCGTCTAACGATCCAAAAAGAAGTGCAAAAAGGAACCATTCTACAACAAGCTTTMACCGTTGTCTTTGTGGTTAGAAACCAGCAGTGCATTGAATGCCAGGCAGAATTTCGGCAAGGAAGTTGGAAGAGTTTAGTGCAGGTTCGTCAACGTGTCTCTCACAAACGAACCTTTCTATTTCTGGAACAATTAATTTTAAAGCATGGAGGTGAGCTTGAAAAATGGATGGAGTTGTAACCTCATTCTCGTTCAGCGTAAATTCAGTCTAATTCTGTACCCGAATCAATTGTCTTCCAATATAGCCCACCGCGGTTGCCTTAGCATCGAAACCTTTACGGATGGTATGGATTTCTACTTTCCTGACAAAGGGAAAGCAGCTCGCTTCATTTCTTTCTTAGAAGGTGCGGTTCCAACGAGAGTAAGTTAAACAAACGAGAGGAGTTGTAACAGGATTTGACCAGTTTCACCCTTTCATGGTTCTTTCTAACGGAAGATATATCAATGTCACCCCTTTTTTTGTTAATCAGATGAAAACATCGAAAAAGCTGATTGGAACCGACGACAAGTCCAATATATCCAACTATAAATACACGAGTTACGTTGAGATTTGCCCTCTGTGTAAGGATGATCTCTTGTACCTTCCCGTTAAGATGGCACGGAATCTTGGAAATATCTCCAGGCTGGTCATGGTCAAGGCTATTTCAAACGTGATCCATCTGATAGATCCTCTAAGTGGTCAAATGGCCCAGTTGTCTGCCGAGGCTTATTGGCGTAATCCCATTCGTCCCGTCATTACGGCAGCAAGGTCTAGAATGACACGTTACGTAGTACTGGGAAAAGAACCTGTTTTCTTGAGGCGTAACGTGTCCAAGAGGGCGGCTAGTCGGAAACAACGCACTAGGCTCGCTAATCTTACGCTCGCTCGAGAAAGTGATCTAGGTGTGAACGATAGACAATTCGAAGAACATTCAAACATGGGTTACCTAATGAAAGCAGGTGATGTCTGCGTAGGGTTTGATTTGACGGAAACTCAATTCGTAGACGATGAAGCAGAAAATATGCGATCGAGTGGAAAGCTACMAGACGTCGTGGTCATTCGTAAACTTTATGGAGGTGTTGCAAATGGTSATGTTGATGCTGCGAAGAAGAGAAAATGGAGGTTGAGACGATTAGATGCGAAGGTAGCAGAAAGCATGAAGAGCTCCCGTGCTGCCAAAAAAGATGCCGAGGCAGAGGACATGGACGAAGAAGATTTCATGAGAGAAGTCGAGGCAGATCGAGAAATGAGAGATCAAATGTATTTGTATAAGAGCGACATTCTGAAAAAGGAAGAAACAAAGGACAAGAGTGACGATGACGCCATGAAAGAAGACGGGAACAACGATGACGACGATGAGGACGATGACCAAGAGATCAAACTTGAAGAACTTTTGGATGGTCTTGTCATGGACGATGGTCCTGACGAAGAGGATGCTCCACCAACGGAGTTTGAAGAATTTCTCGAAGAAGGAGAGCAGGCTGCTAAGGATGGCATCAAATATGTTGGTCGTGACGAGTCGCGCGTGATCAAAGACAAAGAAATTGCAGTTCTGCGTACAACATTTGGGAAAGAGTATGGATCGTAAGATTTTAACTTTCTAACGAATGACAGCAAATATTGTCTGTCAGCTGATATGTATGATAGTACCATTATCATTAACACCTCTACACTTTTAATATGTATCTATGAATTGAGTTTCGTCCTGTCCAGGCCAGTCGTCGAGGGGGTTGATATCGTCGTCGTCGTCATCATACACATTAGAATGAACCGGGTAAAAGTGTTTGGCCCATGATGCTGGCTCTAGTTTGGCTATGTTTTCAACATACTTTGTCATGCGATGAAAACTGAGCGCGGAAGGCAGCCATGCATGGCTCTTGGCATACCAACCATTCGGTACTCCTGCGTATCCTCGTTCGACGTTGCCATAGTGTTCGTAGTAGGCCTTGGATTCGCCTGTCTTGACATCAATTTGTATCGTATGACCGACATCTGCGAAGAGTTTGACATTCATGTAAAACGAAACAAAAATACTGAGAATGATGCCGTTCAACAAAGTGACGAATACAACGGTGCACTTTGTTTCAACGGCGAAACAGTAGGTCAAAGGAAAAGCTCGTGTGGCAGATAATCAAATACTTACGATGAAAGAACTCCGGAAGTCTTGGAACCAAGTCCCATCCCAGAACCACGCGCCAGATTCCCAGGTTATTGGAGAGGGGCGACGTATCGTTAAAATATTCTCTCCAGTAATAATTCCCGGTCTGTGGACAACCAAAACTAACGCTCAGAACTCTTCGATTACGATTCAATGAGGCAAAGGCGGTTGCAGTCAAAATCGCATTAGCCCCTCCCAAAGAGTGACCGGTAGTCCATAATCGATATGTTGGATGTAAGTGCATTAGGTATTTTGTTTTGGCATAAATACGTTCCCAAATATCGTGAGTGAAAACTGCGTTGTTGAATCCAGAATGGACCTTGGCGCGTTCTTTGAGCTGATTCGCCTTTGGGGTCAAATGGACAGTGGAATTATTGCCGAATGGTTTTGTCAATATATTTGTGTCCTCGATCATTGTCATTATATCATCAGTTCCTGCAAAGACAATGGCAATGTATTTTTCTTTATTGTTCGACAACATCAGCACTTGGGTTCCCAAGAAATATTCGTGTATGTACAGTTCGCACGTTAAGTGCTCGGTGTTATTTTCTACGGATGGGTAGAAATCGGCGCAAGTAAAGTTCCGCTCGGACTTAAATTTATAGACCAAGTGCGAGAGATTTGCCATCGTTGCCACATCCTTCAAGGATGGAAAAACCTCCGAATACGCAACATATTTGTCTATAGCCGAGTGTCTCGGTTTCCCGTGAATTGCCGTATTTGCTAGCAGAAACAGGAAAGAAACTGCGAGTCCTGTTTGTACCAAGAGGCGGTTTGGAATTACGAAGGCTCTCTGTGCCATCATCCCCATCATGCTTGTATTGAGCGAGACCAATATTTATGTTGACATTGATTGCCATGATGACGGCTGAAACATTCCTAATTCTTTTCAAAATTCTTCGGGTTTTCTTTCCTTGACGTGACTGCCGAGAAGAGACACGAATCGCATCCAACCGTTCAAGGTTTTACACTCTCAACGTGAAAGCGTCTAAACTCAACGAAGGCTCTAGCGGAACAACTCCATTCCGCAGACCTCGTGCGCACGTACCGTACCGTACGGTACGTACCTAGCAGAAGGATACCGTAGCTTAATTAGGATGGTAAAATTCCTTGCGGCTGCTACCGGCAGTGAGTATGGACGATACTTGTACGCTACGTACTGTAAATCAAAAATCGTCCAAATTACTGTACCTRCAAACGCTCTACTACTCATTCCCTTCTTACAGTAATAGGAACTACTACTACGTAGTTGCAGTACAATAATTTTTTCTTGATATGCTCAATACATTCTCGTATGTACCCTACTCTGGGGCTGCGTACGTACGCTACSCGTAGGCAAGAACTAGAGTACGTACGTAAAGTACTATTTTTTGTTTTTTGATGCAACACAAAATCTAAATTCTGGTTCGAAAATCAAACGGGAATCGTATCGTAGGATGCTAGGTACCCAAGTACTGTACGTACTGCAACGCAGTACGAAGTACTGTACTTCCTGCTTTACAGTACTGTAATTAGTGCTCGTACATTACCTTTGTAGGATACGTACGATCTGGTACGATACCCGTTCAGTAGTCGTTACAGTAATCATATCTTTTGAGAGCTGTCTTCAAAAAGATCTACAGGTATAATATCTTCCAGTAGATACCGACCAGTAGAAGTTGACAACGTGTTCAGGATATCCAAAGGTTGTCTTGTTGGATTCAATAGGCTCGCTTCCAATTCGCATCGTTGAGGTTGTGCATCCTTTCCATCAGAGGTCATTCACAAGTTGCTTTATGCTGTAGTAGGTGCCTACGGTTCCCACCGCACCGCCCACCGTAAAGATGAGCATTCCCAGGTGGGTATATCCCTCGACAGAAAAGGACAGCAATCCCGGGATCACAAAGGCAATCAGAGTTCCCGAAGCACACCCCACCAGGTCTAATATATCTCCGAGACTGGGAGCTGCAATGGCCAGTCCTGTCACAACCAGCCAGATCTGAGTGGTGAGGAACACGTGTCCCGACAGAACCAATTGCCGATCGTCGTCCGGAAGGAGCCATTTTTGGGGCGTGGCAATTGATGGGGTGGATCGTGGTTCGCTGTTCTCAGAAGGAAGCGCGTTCATCGTGTCGTCGTCAACACTTAGGTTATCAGTCGAAGCTGGTTCCTCTGACAAGAGAGGACGCTGCAGGCCAGACATGGAATCATTCTCATCCTCGTGCACTTCGGGACACTCGGCATCGGTTCCCACTCTTCCCGCGTCATTTCCCCGGGATTCTTCTTCCGACGACCTTTTGCGATGAATTCCACACAATGGATGCACGACGGTAAGAATGAGCAATTCTCGACAAGTAAAGAACGGAAGGGGAAAGGTAAACACCATGGTAACACAAAGCAACAGCTTCGCCGTGTCGATCATCCAGCCATGTGGATAGATCTGGAATATGTCCGATTTTGTGTTCTGCCAAAAGGTAATGTAGACAAAGACTCCCACCAGTAGCGACACCGTGGCGGCCGCCAGGATCGAGAGCGACGAAACGACCTTCCATTTCGCGACAGTACGGAGCGATGGTTTGAGAGACGAAAAGACCAAGTGAACCGTATGCTGTGACACAAAGGTAAAAATGAAGGTGCCTAGGTTGCTCAGAACTCCAGGTCGGATCTCGAGCCAGTTTTCGTAAAAGCCCCCTGTGGGTTCTTGTCTTACTTCCGGACACGCAAAGTAGATGTAAATGACAATGCCTACGATCGTGACCATCGACACAACACTTATCAGGGAACCAAATGCCAGTGGCGTCATGTCTCTGAGAAGACATAGTGGTAGGATGAGAGCCAAACTCACTGCCCAGGTAACAAAGGAATAGTCCTCGAGAAACCGATGAAACCACTCGCTGTTGTCGTTTTGGCTGTCTTCACCACCGGAGTATGTGAATGAAACTGAAACTGAATCTGCATCCGTATCCGCGCCCGGCCCGTTGTCGTTGCCTTCCCCATATATCAAACTCAACAGAGCCGGTCCGCAGTTGTCCTTGATGACGATGACATAGGCCACGAGGCAACCGAAGGAGTACGACAGCTTGCATACCATTACGGGAACGCGGCCCTTCCAGTATCCCATGCCTCTCTCGGCCAGGTCTTCGTAGCTAGCGTTCGCGACCGAGCCATCCGACGCAGACGTCGATTCCACCGAGAGCCGAATCAACAAATCGAGCGACAGCTTCGTCAGGACCGCAAAAAAGATGACCAGAGCGATCGAAATCAATCCACCACTCAGGGCAATGGCGCCCCCGAGACCGATGCAGCCAGCCCCGACGATGCTGTTTGTGAAATTGAATATCGCATCGGGCACGGAGGAACCGTGATCGTTCTCGGGCCCGGGTTCCTCGCTCGTTTCATGACCGTTTTGAACTGGTTCGGGTTCGGGAGCACTGCGAGCAAGAGGAATTTCCTGTTCTGGTGATGCGGATATCGTTTCTTCCATGATCAACAATTGGACCGTCGTTACAAAAGCATTGATAGCTGCCGAAAGGATCTATTTGGGAGGATGTGGTTGGTGGAAGACTATTTTTCCGTACTGTATGAAGGAGGCAACAAAGTAGGTTGGACCACGATGTAAGAGAAGACCAGGATAATGTAAGGATGAACCGAAGAAACACTGATGGAATTGCAACGCTCACAATTTTTTCACGTTCGCTACCGGTACGAGTACCAGTAGAGGGATCAACTGTACGAGTACTCGTGCTAGTTCGGAGTGACCCTGTATGGTTCCTAACTCAACCTACGATACAGTATCTACGATACGGTTTGTACGAGTACTCACACGTCGTACGACTCGAACGCATAGCACGGGACAGGAATTCAAGATGACAGAACAGAACACGACTACATTCTATCCATGGTATCAGTACGAGTACGAGTACGTCGTTCAACGTAAGGTACTGTACCTACCGTACACTACGTACGTACTCGCACCTGCTGCGAAAAAGAAATTGTCGAGAAGTTGACACGGTTGATTTTTTGTTATCCCTGCCCTCGCCTCCCCACCCAGATTGTCAGTGCCATGTTTTCGTAACGTACCAGGTACGTTTGTTCTTCACTAACACAGTTGAGTCCAGGGTACGTACGCGGCGCGTCCGCCTAGCSTAAAGTGTACAGTAGGGTACGTACTTGTACCCCTACGTATCTCTCTCTACCTGCAATTGTACATTTGATAGTCATCTCTAAAAACTTGAAAGCATTATGTCGCTTCTATTTACGATCTACTGGTGCAAGTACGTACATATGTACTCTTACGTTCGACGACGTACGATAGGGTAATCCTACCCATGGGTCATTCCGATTTTCAAAATTGCGTTCGGCGGTATTGTGGGTAGTACGAATGCTACTCGTATTTACCGTGGTCGGTGGTCCTCGCCTCTGGTTTGTAGTCCGAGTTTGGCACCGTAAGTACAAGTACCCTACGTACTTAACCGTAGGAAGTTTCATTCGTTCTGATACCGTCGGAAACATCCAAACCTGGCGAAGGACCTCTTGCAGCAGCAGCACTACACCGACTTCATTGCGAGAACAAAAGAGGACCAGGGCAAAGAAGCCATAGACGATCGAAAATAGAAAGCAGCACAGTATCGTTTTCTTTCTAAGGTTTGCATACCGGAGTCATCCACCCAGAATAAAACAAGAAGACACCAACGATTGAACACAGCGTACAGGAACACAACAATGGCAACCTTTTATAGCGCTACGGGAAACAATGGGCAGAATGGTAGCTTTGGCGGCAACCAAGGTGCCGGTGGATACAGCAGTGGAACCTCCGGAGGCAACGGGTTTCAGMAATTKCAGCAACAACCCCAACAACAACAACCTGGCTTTTCGAACAACGTTCAGCAGTGGCAAGCGCAGCCACAGGGCCAACAACCCTATGGGCAAGCCTCGCAGCAGCAGCAAGCACAGCCGACTGCGCAGCCCTTTTGGAGCCCGAACGTTCAGCAGGCGGCGACACAGGCGGCCGCGGGATTCATGGCGCAGGCCGCAACTGGGAACCTGACGAGCGAAAAGGTTCTCTCGCAGGGAATGAACGAAATCCAAAAGGCCTTTGGGGGCGGGATCCCCGGAATGAACTACGTCATGACAATGCTCCGGTCGTACTTTGCGGTGGACAACCGCTACGTGAAAAGAAAAATGGGCAAGGTACTGTTTCCGTTTACGAACAAGCAATGGAGACGAGACGTAAGTGTTGCGAGTCATTGTATCTATTGTGCGCATATCCTTTTGCTCGGTACCTTGAAAGAGAACTTGTTGCGCTCGGAAAAAAACAACCTCGCTTTTCCTGTTGTAATTCCCGTTTGAATTATTTTCCCTGTAAAGTCTTCGTCACGAGGTAGTTTGATCCGATGTACGAAATTAACGAGGGAGACACATTTCTGCCACGAGAGAACTTCCAGTGTTGCAGCATACGCGGTAATAGTACCGACCTTGATTTTTGCTATGGTCTAAGCCCGTTTCTTATCATCTCTTCTTCCCCTCATTTTCGTGTAATTCAACTATTGATTCATCATTTTCATCGTCACTCGATTAGCAAGTGGAAGGTCCCGAAATAGTCAATTATGCGCTCCCTCATTCCGACGAAAATGCCCCTGATTTGTACATACCTATTATGAGTCTTGTCACCTACTGTTTGCTCAGTGCTTTTCTCTATGGAACGGCAGGAAAATTCAATCCGGAAGTTATCGCAGATGTGATTTCTAAGTGTTTCCTTACGCAAATTGCAGAAGTTCTCGTCATACGGGGTTGCTTGTACGCGATGCAGGCGACGATTCCCTTCTTGGATATATTTTCTTATACTGGGTATAAATACCTAGGACTCACGATTTGTATGCTGTGCGGAATCCTCTTCAAATACCTTGAATGGGGTACTGTGGGCTACTATTTGGCCTTTTTGTGGACGGCATCGGCTGCTGCATGGTTCATGCTCAAGACCATGGCCAATAATATTCCCACTCAGACGGYATCTACAGGACCGAAACGAGATGTAGTGGTCTTGGCGTTTGCCGCCTCCCAGGTTGCAACAATGTGGTTTGTTAGCCAGACAAAGTACCTATGAGTACTAKGCAGRGTATGACGGTATCCACTGCCAAATGAAAACTTGCTCATACAACGCGGAACTTTTTTCATATCAACGTGATGAGCAAGTGAGGACAACACTAAACCAGGATAGCTACTGTGATCAATTTGGCAAAAGATGCTTCGATAAAGAAAATGATTCAAATTCATCAAAATAATGAAAATGATACTAATACGATTGATAGTTGAAATTTGAAATACTGTCTTCTTTCACCTATGTCATGTGGTCCAAAATACGGAAAATGTGGAAGATCGTCATTATTTCGCGCACCTTACTATACTAAAAAATGATCCCTCCATTTCTGAGTGGACCATATTGGGATCTATGAAATGTATCTACAAAATGTATCTACAAAATGTATCTACAAAATGTATCTTCCCAAGTGATTACCACACATACCCTTGTATTTCCAAGACAAATAGAATCTTCCTACTATCCTTAGGGTACAAAATAATTTATATAATTTCTTTATTCTTTTCAAGCCCTTGGAAAATGTCTTCCTCAAGTTGGGAGCACTA